CAGGGTGCCATGGTCTTTGTGCTCTTGCATGCTTCGTAATTTTTTTTAAAATAACAAAAAATATAGGCTTATTGGAATATAAATATATGTTTAAAAAATGTTAAGTAAATAATAGTAAATAAGCATGGTATTTACCAATCCACCAGGCAAAAGCCAATGGTGATCGGACGTTTGCAGAATCGTTTAAAGAAATAAAAATAGAGATAAATGGCTAAAAACTGAAGACTAATATCGATTTTTGGAAGCGTGATTCATTATGGTCTGTAATCCAAATGATCATTATTTTTGGTGCTGTTAAGCAAGCTTAACATCGTTTGAGCCTTATAAAACAAGACCAGACAATGGACGTCATAGAGGCAATAACGAAAATATGGGTTAAATATTATTTATAAAAACATCTTGCCACTGATGAAATGTCTGATTTGATGCTGTACTTATTGATACGTCCATCTCATACGGGTCAGAATTTTCTCGTATTGCAAGTCGTGTTCACCAAATAACATTATATCGCAATAATTATGCTGTTCAGTGGTAAAGCGTCTGCCTCCAAAAGATCACTTAAGCTAAGGCCTTGAGTGGAACTGCTGAAGGACCAAAGAGAAATCAAAGATGCGATTAAGCAAGCATTCAAGATTTCATTAAGACCTATCCTTCTTTCCTCAGACATTAATCAGCAGCGAAACGTAGCTTCAAAATCAAGGCAAATTTTAAGGCTATCTTTTACTAACAATTAGTTGAAAATGCAAGGATAATCACGATAGTTAAGCAGAAAGATAAAACTGGCAAGGGGACTATAAATATTAAGAGGTATGAGATCTTCTCGTCCCAATAAAATAAACATTTATTATAGGTATAAGAATAAAAATGAGGCGACCTTCATTTTTTAAGAATATTTTATTCGCTTTTAAAAAGCGGTTTGACTTCGTATTTGCAACCTAGCTGATAAAGTACTTTGCCACAGTAGTCATGAGGATTTCCAGTGTCAGATCAAAGGACAGAATGGGAATACAGACAATCGCTCGGCAAAATCTGGGCCAAAAGATTAACTTTACTTTCTTCTGACGAGTTATAGCCTGGCGTTACGACTTACCAGGCTCACTAGGGTGGTGAAGAAGCTTCTGATAATTATCGAAATCACCGGCCATGTATTTAAAATTATCATAACTACCAAGGGAAGATATACGGACATAGTGCATCCATCTAGGTCTTCTTAAAATACGAATTGGTTGATTAGATGAGGTCAAATTACACTTAAACAATTAGTGTGTTTGTCATCTTATTAAAATAAGGAAAGGAGCAGAGAGAAGTAAGAATTTAAAGGAGAAAGTATGTGCTCAAGCACATAAACATTTTTTAATGCGTCGGAGTAAATAAAAGAACAGCAGGGTCCCGTCCTGTCTGCTATTTTAAATTGGCTCATATCCCTAGTGGCTTTGAGTTGAGCCTAGGAAGACTAGCAAACATGAAAAAATAAAAATAAACGAGAAGATTAAGACGAAATAAAGCTAAAATATTTTTTTATTTAATGAGTGGACATATCTATTAGAGAGAGATGAATTTTAAAGACGAATAGACTCACCGATCAAAAATAAGACCATCAACGCCCATATCGATAAGACGGTGGCGAACATCTGGATCGTTCGCGGCGTCACCCCAGAGCAACAAAACGAGGCCTAAGCTATGTGCTAGCTTTAGGTATGCCGGATGGGCAAGTAAATATCTGCTATCTAGGCATACACCCTGGAAATAAGAGAGATAAGTAGATAAGTAGTTGTGAAAATGGAAAATAAATGGCTCGCATAAAGAAAAAGTTCGTAGCTGGCAACTACCCACGAGTAAATTCAAAAGCATAGATTATGATGAAGTTATGAAAATAAAAACAGTATGAGAAAACTAGCTAGCAGTAAGTGACGTAGCGATACGTAGGCGCT